GCTCCTGTCAGAGAGCCTTGGGTATGCACGGGAAGTATGACCACGATGTCTCCAATCTTCATAATCATTATCATCCTCACCTGCATCATCTAGCTCATCGTTGTAGTCCATTTCGGCTAGGAAAGAGAACATTTTATAAGTTTGACAACATGTTTCATAAACTGAATTCCTGAATAAATGTGTCAAACGTCACACTGGGTTCATGTAATTCACCAAAACAAAAAATGAACAGACTTGTGTGTGTCAAATGTGTAATATGATGTCTTCTTACCAAGAAGGCCAAGTCTTACAATCCGTTGAAAACCAGGACGACTCTCAAACATATCCACAACCCTTTGCTAGACAAGAGAAAGAGGGATTTGTAGGTCAGTTCCACGTAGTTTCTTACAACCGTCAGATTAGCTCAGCACCTTCAGCCTTGAAACTTTACATTTTCCTACATACTACGTGCCAATGCCAGCACTGACTGTGACCTCAAGCAGACACTGAAGCACTGCATCCATAGGTTTCACTTTCATTTACCCAGTGTGAGCTGACTCACTGAATACTCAACAGAGAAGGTATTTTCCTTGCACTGACTAACAGTAAACACAGCTCTAGAGTAGCGATAGGCTGATTTAACAGTCTGACGCTTATCTGGCATTTTGAGATAATCAGTATCTGTGATATCCGTACTCATGAGGCAGATAAATGTCTCACACATATCTGCAGGCAGCCTCGTCAGTGTGGCTACCGTGGAACGACATTAGCACTCCCCTTTTGGGAAGGTGGTGAAAAAGTTTAACCCCGTACTATAACTCTCCTATCCTGCTGTAAGCCTGAATTTTGTGTAGAATAGAATCACACATGACTTTTATTTGTTTTGATATCAGCGTTATATATCGGCCATTGGCAGCCCAGTTTTTTAAATATCGGTACCCGCCATTTAACAGCCGATATCGATCGACCACTACTCAGGAGACTGCATCTAATTGGCTGAAAACGTCTGCATTTTAAAAGCTAAGCCTACCCTTTAAAGTAATTTGCTGTGATGGAGTCATTAACTACATGTGACCAGCAGTAATGTTATTTGGAAAACACTATGAGATGAGAAGAAGCCTCATGAAGTGAAACAATAAAGCGTGTAAGTCAAGCTGAGGGTTTGGTTCTATCACAAGGTCAAGAAATAAACTGATATCATATGAGATAGTGGAAGGAGGAGTGAGTGAGCCTAACATTCAGCATGCTAATAACACTGTTTATCTGCAATGGAAATTCAATGTATTATCTGCAAACAAGTAGCTGCTTTAATAATTCTAACCGTAGGTCTTAATATATGAATGTTTTCTAACTAATATAAGTATCAGATATGTCTAACTCTGTTGTTGTTTAGTATCATGAAGGCTCGGCACGCCGCGCACTTCACAATGCACAATATAAACAGGAAGTGAGTACGTGTATCTAAAAACTCTCTCAAAACACAGTCAGCCAGACAGATTCAGTCTGATGAAACAACTGCTATATGACAGGCTGCTGCTGCTGCTACACAGAGCAGAGCAGTATCTGTCTAGTAATATTCATGTGAGGGACATTATCGCCACTCACACAACGCCAACATGTGGGCGCCATGAGCTCTGTGCTTTTGGGCACTCATCAGAGAGGACAATTTAAAAATGTGTACTTACGAACATCCCGATATCTCTAAACTCTGAAACGAAGAAGACAACGAAACAACGTTAAATTACTGCAATATCGTTAGCGTTGAGTAAAACCAAGAGAATAATGAAGAAATGTATCTGTGCTTAGTTAGTGGTAACTTTCAACTAACTAGCAAGTTAGCTTGTTAGCTAAAGTAGCCACGAACTTCTTATAACAGGAAAAAACATTCATTTCCTCACCCGTCTCGTCTGTATATGTATCCATGTTTAGTAATACACGCCCTCACCCAGCTTCATATACTCATTAATTCGAGTTAAACAAACACAAACTTGCATTAGTTTAACGCTAATGTTAACAGTCTCTAACTTTGCCCGCGGTCATTATTCGCTCGTCGCAGGCTGTCCGCCACTTTCTGCATCTCATGAACGCACCAGACGCAACTTGCCTTTTATTGTACGCATGCGCGCTGTGACACCACTTCCCGCTCTTGGCAAAGCTCCTCCCCCTGTCTGTGCCCCGCCCTACGGTACTTACGGTGACGTCACCACGCTCCCAGTGAAAACATGGGATGAGAAAAATGTTCAAACCTCAGTCGGATGTTTTGATGCAGTTATCTGATGATGCTACTGCTTTGCATGAATCTCTAATGCCATTAATTCCAACTGATGAACAACAAAAACAAGGGCTATGGTTTTCAAAGGTTAATACACATATAGAAGGATGCATTGAGGATGTTGAAGCATGGTTTAAAACAATCAGCAGGAGGGATCATCAGTGGAAAAGGATGCACAGGAAAATGGAGAAGAGCTACAATTTCACCAAAATCTTCAAAATGATGATCAGGATGAAATAGCACCACGTGACAGCATTTCAAATCAAGGCAGCGTTAAACATGGCCCAAAGTCTAATGTGTCATCTACTGCATCTGCATGTCTCAGAGCTGAGGCTGAAATGGCTGCTTTACTGGCACGGCAAAGGTTGCTCAAGGAAAAACATGCTCTTGAAGAGCAGGAAGAGCAAATAAGGAAACAAAAAGAACAGCTTCAACTTGAAGCAGACATAGCTGCATCCATGGCAAAAGTCTTGAGAACCTCTGGAGCCAGTGTGAGGAGTGCTTCTTCTAGGAAACTGGATGGCATGGAGTCTTATTTTGAAAAGGGACTTAATATCCAGGCGGAACCTTTTGTACCATATAAAGATGGAAGCGATGGAATAGGACCACCGCCTGAAGTAAGGAGTTTACATCCATGTTTAGGAGGCGCAAGGTCAAAGCAACATGAAGGAGCCAATTATGTACAAAAGGGGCCCTTGGTGCCAACAAAACCACAGAGCACAGCTCCTAAGGATGCAGCGCCCCCCAGTGTGTCATCTCAAAGATATAAATTAACCCTCTTTCAGTGAACATAACATGCTGTCTATAATGGAAAAACAGAATGAAATAACATCGATGCTGGTGCAGCAGCAAAGTCTAGCATCACTGCCAAAAAGGGACATTCAGATCATCGATGGCAATCCACTGCAGTATCACGCCTTTATGCAAACATTTGAACAAACAATAGAACAAAAGGCCAACAATGGAGTTGACTGCCTTCACTACCTGGAGCAATACACCAGGGGGCAGCCACAACAGTTAATCAAAAGCTGTCAACATATGACTGATGGAAATGGATATGCTACAGCAAAGGCTTTGCTCCATGAACATTTTGGATATGATCATGTAATTGCATCTGCTTACACGAATAAAATATTGTCATGGCCGTCAATTAAATCAGAGGATGCAAAGGCTTTACAAGCATTCAGTCTGTTCTTACGTGGATGTTGTAATGCCATGAAAGATGTATATAACTTGTGTGATCTCAATACATCAGCAAGTATGCTCACTGTGATCAAGAAGCTACCGTACAAGCTTTGAGACAAGTGGCGTACAGCGGTTTGTGACATACAGGGAAGGCTTTAAGTTTAACGACTTTAATCTCATTAAAACGACTTTATTCTGGTAATATTATGACTTTAATCTCCTAATAGTTCGAGTCGTAATTACAACTCGACTCGTTGTAATTTGATGGTGCCCTTACCATAGACATAATATAGACGCAGTGGCGCTGCCTATTGGAGCTGACGTATCAGCACTGCCGCCATCTTGGATGGGTCCCCAATGCGCCCCCCCTACATTTATTTCTACTGAGGAAGGTCTATCCCCAACTACAACAATCAGAACTCCCCGAATCTTTACCGGATTTTCACACGGTCTGGTTTGTTACAAACGGCAGAGATTTTGTTGTGATACAGGACGCGGTCACACATTGAAAAATACGTGCTTTCATGCTAAAAGACTTTGTATTATGCTCTTTAACAAAGACATATGGTAGGCTATGGCATATTGATGAATGTATAAATGAATTAATTTGATATTTTAATAAAGAAACAAGTTTGATTGTTCATTTGATTTCGCAGCATCTCTAACCCTGACAATCTGATCCGTCCTGTCAAAATCATCAGGCTTGAAGTGCTCACTACAGAGCTTTGACGAACCCTCCCGTCTTATAGCAACTTCCCATTGCCTCCTCAGGCCTGTATCACTGGGAAACCTTCAAAATGTGAAGAAGGAAAAAAAACAGCAAGACAATGAGAGAGAGTACCAGTTCCTGCTGTAATAACGTTACACGTAAGTAACGTTAGTTACGATGACATAATATTATAAATGGTAAAATAACCAAAATTATTGTTCAATCTGACTTGTGAAAGGTAATCCCACGCCATCTGGTATCAATACTGCGCCGGTTATTGCAACTGTAAGCTGCACAAAATACGGGCATAGTTGCTCGCTCTCCGTTGACTCCGACTGACTCTGGTGCTAGCATAGAGTGAGGAGACCCGACCAATATGGCGGCGACGCTGGATACGTTCCAGCCCGTCATGAGGCGTCAATGTGCTTCCCCCTGCTGGACACATACACATACAGTGAAACTCCCTTACGTGTAATTTACTTTATCTATTGGCAGTATATATATTATGGATATTGACCCAAATAAAGACAATAATATTTTTGCAGTTGGACTACTAGACTCATTATTTTGCACATATATACGTGTACAATTTATTTATTTACAGGATAATGTAAATTAAAATGGTTTATACATTTTTAAATGTTATTTAATTTCATGTAGATAGCTCTTCAGTGGTTTTTATACCCTTTTGACAGTCTCTTGTGCTGCTGTAACATTTAAATCCTCCCCTGAGGAAAGTCTTACACAGTGTATTATGTTGTATTCTGCACATAAGGGATGAAAAAGCATTTTCTTACTTGATTGCTTCATCAGTCCTGATCAAACTGAAAATAAAGTGACAATGAGAATCTAAGATCATATTAAATGTTTAATGCATCACTCAAAATCATTAGCATTCACACATTCACACATAACTTTCTGAATGATTTCAGGTAGACAACAACCTGTAGTCTGAAACAACCACAAGTGGAGCCTTTAACGGAAATAGGAACAATATTTAAAAATATAACATCAATATATTCTTTATAGGAAAAGAGCTGAATGTGGAAATGTTTCAATGGAAATCTTTAATCTAAACCATTTACGTAATGTTTGCTTCTCTTTCAAGGGTCATTTCTTGCACAACAGTCATTGCACAGTAAAACTGAACTGAACCTCTCTCATATTCTCCACTTTGAACATTTTTTGAAATAGTTTTTTTGCTGTTAATCAGTATATAAAGTAAAGGGAATGTCACAATGTCTAATGAATGACAAATGACAAACTAAATATCAAACAATTTGATAGGATTTGTTTTCAAGTACCTTTAAAAAGTTCATGGTTGCTCCTGCGCTCGTAGATTTCACAAATTAGTATTAGAATTTAATGCAAAGACATGCTGGGAAACTTTTCAGGTCTTACAAAGGCTTTGCTAAAGTAGTTTGTGTATTAAAAAATATGATTATTAATTGATCTTTGTGACCAACAATGCAAATACATAAAACTTGAGCTTTCAGTAACAAACATTTAGTAACTCAATTTAAAATTATTATCAGTTTGATATCAAGGACCCACCTCATACAAGACAATGCCATACAAGATTATGAAAAAGGCGTCACGTGGCTTCTTTCACACGTGAGTAAAAGTGCTGCCGCAGTGGTAGCTCCCTGTTAACTCACGAAGCAGCCATCTTATGTCAAGTCATGAGAAATAACCCCGGTCTTATCTCTTCGCCTTAGAGTTTAAAGATCATCCCTGAGTCACAAACTCTCATAGGAGGCTTATCAGTTCCTACATTATAAAGTAAGTAACAGCAACAGAGCTCTCATTACAGCAGTTCTGGCTTCAAGTCTTTGAGAATAAAAACAGCCACCAGTGTCCCCGGTGTGCATCCTGACTTGTTATTCTGCAGCCCTTCCGTGGCGTACAGAAAACGCGATGAGTCTGTGGTAAAGAGAGCTGAGGAGGACGATGGCGCCTACCACCATACCACAGATGAGACTGAAGGCCCAGCGGGGTCCCAGGATGGTATAGACCTGGGAGACAAAGACTGGGCCCAGTGTCCGTGCCCCGCTCCCTGAGGCTGTCAACCACCCCATGTACACACCCTGCAGAAAGCAACAGTAAACGTCCACATTCTGGTGTTCAGCAAAGTTTAACAGAGAGATGTATGGGCACATTCAAAGTGGTTTAAAGCACCAAAATCATTTTTCTATCTTTCAAAACACCACTACAGTCTCCTCACCTGAGGTTTGGGTCCGAGGATTTTGGAATACAGTGTGTAGGACATCACGTTGCAGGCTGGGTATCCCACCCCGATGAGGATGTCAGCTGAGATGTACTGGGCCAGGTGGATGGCGGGGGTATACTGGCACCAGGTCTGTTCATACGGGCAGCCTGTTGGCTCTGAGGAGCTGTTGGAGGCTATAGTGGCTTTGGAAATCTGACTGACCAAAGAGTTGTTTTTCAGGTCTGTATTTTGAAAAGAAAAACAGAATGCGAACACTTGAATTCTCAGCATAACTGTTCGTTTTCAACAGTTGTCCAGTTTAACGCTCAGCTGTATTCCTTTAGCCCCCAAGAGTTGGCACCGCTACACACAAATATTATAAAGTCCCCACACTAGGATAAAAATCAAAAACAAAAAAACGAAACAGTGCATACCTGCCCACTGGATTTTAGGGTAATGATTTCCCCATGGAAGCAGAATAAAGAAGCCACAGAATATAATGGCCAAGCCTGCTAGCAACACAGGACGATCCCCGACCCTGCAAGGAAATAAATGTACTTCTAGATTATAACCAAATTTGCAGAAGCTGAAATATATATATATATATATATATTGCATGAGGGCGGGTACCTTTGAGAGGCCACTTTGACAACTACAAACACCAGTATGGATTCAAATCCAATGCAGCAGATGATGATGCCATTGTATAGCACAGCTTCCTTCCTTGTCCAGGCAAACATGTCCATGGACAAAGGGGTGGCAATGCTAAAAATATAAAGTCAGATTTTTTAAAACTTTATACAAATGATTATGAAAGTCTTTGTTGTATTCTAACGTGGGTGCCAGGTAATCTGTAACGAAATACATACGTCTCAAAGACTGCAAAGATGAACATGACGATGAAGAAGAGGGCGTTGGAAGTCAGGACTGCTACCTGATCGATGGTCTCCTCAGTTTCTTCACTAACGTCAACTCTGTCTACAGAAAAGGGAAGAAGATGATAAAGGCTAAAACACAAAGACCAATATCCTGCAACAAACACTACAAACGTTGTAAATTTACTTAATTATCTGGACTCTATAATTCTCAGTGGTACTACGAGCATTGGCTTATACTACGGCTGTATGCGTCATGATTTCTTTCCTGGTAATGTCACTTATGTAGATCACTTTTACATCCAACTTTTTTGTTTGGACATTATTTTAGAATAAGACAGTAAATACCTTCTGATGTGTAGTTGATGGCTCGAATGTGTCTTCCGTGGTCATCAACTCGGTGCTCTCTGTTAACAATAATCACAACAGACATCTTAACTGATTTAAATAGCATTGAGAGACTTCTTTTTACATAAAATGACAGCAGTGTAGCTAAATCCAAGGATCTACGACTGTGGTGTTGGAGTAAACACCATGTGGATCTCTATTTGATGTGCTCAAATCCTCAAACCAATAAATCTACAGGAAAAACAAGGAGACTCATTGCGTATACAGGCAGGGAAAGCCTCACCTCAGCACCAGAAGAACCAGCAGGATGTTGATGATGCCAAAAGCTGCAGCCAGGAAAGCCGGAGCAGTGTACATGTTGAGCTGCAGGTCTATGATCTGAACCGTGACACCACGCTCACCAATGAATGACAGGCATGCCTGCAGAGCTAACATAAATAAAGATATGCAAATGTTAACACAAACAGGCCCACAACACACTCGCATCACTGCTGTCCATACTGGGCTGGTTTACACACAATATGAACAAATATAGCCATCTTTACCTGGTCCCAGGATGAAACCCAGGGCCTGACAGGCACTGCTGTTCGCCATAGCACTGGTCCTCTCCTTCAGTGACGTAGCTCCAGCAACATAGGACCTCACCACAGCAACATTACCTGCCATGAAAAGCTAATGTCAGGAACTGTGTTACATGGATCACACCATTATATGGTAGAGCAGGGCCATGTGTACAGTTTGTGAGCAAATGTGATTGAATTAAATGAGAATACATGTATTAAAATGCAGTTATGTGGACATAAACACAAAACACAGAAAATACATTATTCAAAGCATATTCAGGCCCTCACAAATCACCTGCTCCAAAGCCCACGAAGGCTCTGGACATGAGTATGTGGAACTTGTTATTGGTTTGGGGCAGGTATGCATAGGCATAGTAGATATTGGCTGACACGTTGATGAAGATGGAGCACACCAGTGGCTCCCTGCGTGGCCGATAGTTGGACCAAAGGCCAAAAAGGGGTGAGGCCACCATCTGACCGACGCTGTAGGAAGCCACCACCCAGCCCAGGAAAGTGGCATTGGCGCTATCATCAATCTATAAGAAAATAAACATGTGAAAGCATGAGCGGTGCTATGGAAGACATTGCTACAATGCAAATACATAAGACAACAGTTGAACAACTTTTAGAGTCAAATTATTGATGCATGCAGATACATTTGAGTGTTCCCTGGTCGTTTTTAAACTGGGGTCTGGAAACCAATCAGGTCCTTGAATGGCAAAAGGAGGAATATAATATATATAAACTTTTATCCCATTTCAAAGTTAGAGTTAGTTAGGGGAGAAATAGTTTAGGCTGCTTTTATTGATTGTAACTTATAGTGAACCCGGTTTGATCATTGATTGATTATGAAGACTTCATAATCTTCAAACGTAAGAATAACAAACAATACTCAGAGGGGATTTCTTTACAACTCTCAAACTGGGGTCTGTGGTCTAATGTGCATCTATTGTGGGGGTCTTTGACATGAGTTTGGAAAACCCTGCTACAGTATTAAGAATTGCTTTACTACTCAGTTTGACTAACGTACAGGGTAAGTGCAGAACTTCTGCTAAATCCAAATTAAAGTGCCCTAAATATCCATTGTAGCTTCTTTCACTTCCTGTTTACCCTACCGAGATTGCTTTTGAACAGCAAACAAAAAGTGTCTTACTTTGCATTATTGGCAGCGGTATCAGACAAGAATCTTTTAGAAAGAAAATAGCACGGCATACATACCTTTTGCAAATACGGCCACAGTGATGTGATGACAATCGTGAAACCTGAAAGGGCACATAACAACACAGGTGCTTCACATGCTGTCAAAGGTCCAAAACATTGTCTTTTCAATCATGGCATACCAAACACAAGCCAGACGAACATTAAAATGCATCATTCAGCTACTACTCTTTCAGGGTGCAGCAATGCCATTACTGCTGTGTGTTTGTGTTTCAGCTGGTTTGACTGGACCTTCTACATTACTCTTAAAGTTTTAATCTGGGGCATCCTCACCGACACTGCTGAGAAACATGGTGAAGTACATGACTCGGATAGACCTCCACCGACTCTTGTAATCTTCATCCTGAGAGTCATCGCTGTACACAGGCAATATGACAGGTCAGTAAAGGTGATTTGAGGTTATTTATATAGGCTCACAGACACCACAGACCTGAATGGTTTACATAATGCACAGATAACATGCAGTACAGGGTTAGTAATATTTGATCTAGCTTGTTGAATGCACTACAGCACCCTGTGTCAACCCCAGCTGAGGTTACAGAGGTTACCTGTCAAGTCCATTGAACTCTGCACTCACCTGCTTGCGTCATCCCCGAGCAATGGAGTGGTATCGTCAGAGTCAACAAGTTGAGACATGGTTGCTAAAAACAGTAATCCCGTAAAGTTATGACGCTTCCCCGGAATTTGGAGATGTAAAGCAGCGTTGCTAAGTCGCCATGTAGCCGAGGGTCAGTGAACTACACAGCTAACGATAACTACAACTCTTCCGAAAAGGCTCTGGAGAGCTAGCTTTACTTTCAGCTATTGTTAGCAACTCAAACTAACACTGTACATCCTTACATATACGCTAACCTAACTAATACCACACATACTGTGAAAGTGGAGTAGTTTCCAATCGACGGTGAAGTAAATTAACGAAAGTACGCCACTGAAAAGCTCACAAAACTGGACTATGATACCAGACAGCTAACATACTGTCATACCAAAAAGAGTTAAAATGGTAACTTCCGGTTTAGCTTTTCACAATAAGATAAATAAAGAATTAAATTAAACAGATATTTTTGGTTTCTTTCACAGCAGACTGTTCATACTTAACAAACTAATTCAGGTACGTTTTTTTTATCATGAATATTGAACAGTCTTAAGACATACCCCTTTATTTTCCAACTACGACCAACTATGCGCATGTATTTTGAAGCCTATATCTCATAACATCCGGGCCCATTTTGCCGTTTGCAGTCTACCTTGACGCATCGCTCTCACGTGAGAATTAACTAACAATATAAACACTCCCGTCCCATAGCGGCACATCTGTGTTGTTTAACATCGTCCAACTATCATTTTACATACATTTATTATGTTTTTTTAATAACAGAATCAATGAACTGAGTAAAAAATAAAACAAATAGTATAGAATAGTAATTTGGGGGATTCAGACAAGCGTGCAATTACCTGAAACACAAACTGGATCATGTCTTGTACACTATATCATATCTAGTGTATTGAGGGAAATGGCTGATTTAGAGGATACTCTGAATAAATGTCTGTGCTGTCTCACAAAAACTAGCCCAACACAGGTGATATGTCAGAATTGTCCAAGGGTCATTGTAGTGGAAGGCAAATACCCCCCCCCCATCCACAAGCTTTCTGTTTCTATATAGGGGTGGTTTCCTATAAAACAAATGAACAACATAATACGATACAATGACGAAAGAAATCTAAAAAAATAATAAAAATAACCCCTCTTTATTATCATTATTGTGGTTTCAGTTTTGATAATTCCCTAAATTAGTTATTATCCTCTTATTATACTATGGTGGATCTATTTATATTCGACTCATATTTACTCAAATGATTAGTTATTTCATTATCTCATATTTATTCATGTAATATTGAACTCTTTGGTACTCCATACTCCGGGATTTTAACATATGGATCCAAGGGATATAATATCTTACTGCACCGGCGTGATGACATAGGGGGTTCTTCATAAATGTAAAGTTAATTTTTTTTAAAAAATATATATATATATATCCTCAAACAAACACGTGGAAGAAGGGACAGTCCAGGTCTCTACAATCTGCTTCTAGATTCAAATTTCCCAGAATGTGCCCGCGCCAGTGTCCTCGTTCTGACGTCCTTTCAAAAGTGAAAGTGAATCTTTTAGCTGGCGACGACCTTTCCCGAACGTGGCTTTGAACAAAATACGATTAAAAAAAGCCAAAGCTGACTTCAAATCTACACCGAAATGTGAATTACCTCCTAATTTATGTCCTTACGCACTATAACCTGGAGCTGATTAAAGGATATTTCGACCTGGAGTTACACCACGATGGGTATGTAGTTTTGAATTCGCTGGATTTATGAATCACGACACGTTTTCATTTACGCTTTCGTTCTGTTGTTCAAAGAGCTGCTGATTTACGATCTGGATAGCGATTGTGTGTGCTAACGTTACAGCTGGTTAAACGCAAATAGCCTTAGGTCATAATTTGTATTCTGTCACAGGTTCGCTGATCATGAAGACATGTTTTGTGTTTGCTCTGGTTTCATCGTGTGGAGCCGCCCCTGGTACGTCCCTGTTTTCTTTACATCTCATCACCTGTTCTGATTTTCCTTATGCTGGTATTTCACCATGTATTACTCACCATTCTTCCCCTTTTTATGTATCTGACCACTGTTTATTCAGATGTATTGACTTTTTATTGTTCATAAACCTGTAGACATGTTCCGCTTATCTTTAAACTTAACCAGCCTTATATGTGGAACAGATTTGTGTCCTCTTTGAAAGAAACATGGCAAGTCTAATTCAGTTCAAGTCACATTTTATTATATAATTTATATATATACATATACATACATACATACACACACTACTCACAAAAAGTTAGGGATATTCGGCTTTCGGATGAAATTTCAGAATGTACATAAAATGCACTATAACCTTTCCAGGTGATCTTAATTTGACCTTCTACTTAAATGCCCTACTTTCATGATATAATATCACTGTAGCATCAACTTTTTACATTTTCCATAAATTTCACCCGAAAGTGGAATATCCCTAACTTTTTGTGAGTAGTGTAAATATATCCCAAGGAAAGCTGCCTCTGTCCAGATAAGGACAAACCCTTTATCCCAAGCCAGATGTTACTATAAAAGTAATAAATAATATACTAACAATATTCATGTTGTCCGTTTCACAGTTTCAGATAACCTGGTGGTCTTGGTCAAGTCTACTGTCTCAGTGCACTTCGGCAACGATACCATGTTACCATGCTGGCTCAATCCTCCACAAAATGCGGAGGGCCTGGAGGTACGTTGGTACCGCAATGGTAACTTCGACAGCCCGATCATGCTTTACCGGGCGAAGAAGTTCCAGAATGTATCCCAGGAGTCTTCATACAGGGGCCGGATCTCGTTTGGCTTAAAGGACTCAGCATCTGGTGGTCTGAAGGAAGGTGATGTGAGCCTGAAGCTGGAAAATGCCAGACTTCAGGATGTGGGAGATTACAGTTGTTACGTGAGCAGTGATCAGGGTTATGACAGTGCGACCATCAGTCTCAGTGTGACAAGTGAGTGAAAGAAAAGCCCACAAATCTAAAGGTCTAAAAATTCTCGTCACCTTTACATCAGATGCTTCATCTTCTGTTATTGTCTCTCTTTGGTAGATACGGGAACCCCCCCTCTTCTGTCAGTAGTGTGGCTAGAAGATAACATGGTGAATGTGAGCTGTGAGTCTGGAGGATGGTATCCAGAACCTAGTCTGCGCTGGATGGATCAAAAGCAGGATCTCAGCGCGAAAAAAAGCAACGACTCTTCTGGTTTCATGTCAGTCCACAGCTGGCTTCTCGTCTCCAGGCCCTCAGAGGTTTCCTGCTCAGTAGGTACCTCTGATAAAGACACAAAGGAGGCCAAAGTACGCCTGGAAAACATTTCCACACCTGGGAAGGGTAAAGAGAATTATTTGAACAGTTGAATTTACTTTATTATTTCACTTAGAACGACACACAAAAATACAAACTTTCTTGCTTTTTTATTTAGAGTCTGGATCCTCAGCAGGTGGATGGGTGGCCTTCGCTCTACTCCTCATAGCCGTGTTAGCTGGACTTGGAATGTTTTTCTTCAAAAACAAACATAAATATCCGATTTTCGGTACGTTTGTTATCTGTTTGTTTTTTTAACTTAAATAAATGAATAAAATCCTAAAATGTGATGACAGACACAGATGACCACAATGTATCCTAAATTCTAAATACTTCCAATAGTGTACAAGCACTGACAGCTTTATTAGATGGCATACAATGATATACAATTATGCAATACTGATAAAATATCAAATTAAAACCCAGCGTCCATGGTGATTTAAATATGAGCACTGACTGAAATCAAATCCTGATAATGTTCTTTTATGTTTCAGGTAAATCAGGATGTGACCAAGTTGATGGTAAGAAGGACCACAGAGTCACATTAGACATTAATTTATTACTCTTACTTATATTTCAGAGAAAGTTCATGATATTTGTATAAAATTGGTGCTCCAGCTATTTAATATTAGATTTTAGTATTGAAAACTTCTGTGAAGGACTTGTGAGAGACAAATTAAAAAAAGCACCTGAGTCAAGTTCAGTGGCATTTTTTTTCCTTTACCGTTACCAAAAACAAGAGTAAATTACAAAAACATAAACTTAAGTAACAACATTCATGTTAATGGTTTGACAGTTACAGATAGCCTTATGGTTTTGGTCAGGTCCACTGTGCACTGCGGCCACACAACCACATTACCATGAAATCCAATCCTTACAATGTTCATTTATGTTTCAGGGAGGAAAGACAAAGAAGATGACCAAACTGATGGTAAGAGTAACATTAAACACACAATTTAATACTCTTACACAACAAGTTCATTATATGTGTATGAAGGACTTGCAAGAGGCATGTTTTAAAAACACACCTAGGAATCAAGCTCCAAAATCACTACATTTCCCAAAATGCATAGTACATCTCATGATAAGGACATTTAACTTAATGTGTAAAATCCATGGAGTGCCCCCACAAAATAACAGAACCCATAAACTAAAACTATTTTTGTATTGGTTTCCCCCAGAGAGGCAGAAGCTTTTACAAGGTAAGAAGTGACTCTATTGCTGTTCTATAAGTCAAACTGTGACACATAAATGTATTGAATCATAATACAAAACAGATAATTGTATTGGTATTGAATCTGTTTTTACTTTTTCTCACTTTACTTTTTACAGGAGGGACCCAGCTAACAGCATTTAGCAAGTATTATGGTAATCACTTAGGAATTGATTGTAAATTACAATTTACATATGCATTTCTTTTTTCTGATTTAATCCTAATTTTGTTTTCAATTTTCAACAGAAAATGTTACCCTTGACCAGACAGTACATGAGTATCTCAAGATCAAGGATTGTAGACTGAGAGACGTCCCGGTTTAAGGATTTTCCTGATGGACAAGAGGTTACCTGTCTCACAGCGATCAAAGGAAGATGTGGCTTCTCTTCTGGACAACACTACTGGGAGGTATCTTTGGGGCATATCAGTATAGGCCCCAAAGTGTCTTGGTGGCTTGGAGTTACGAGTGCGAGAGTCATCCCTGAGAGGTCAGATTTTGATTCCGACTGCCTCTGATGGTTTCTGGTTCCTGTCCTCGTCCCCTGACAGCGCAGAACGCTTTCAGTTTAGCACACAACCAAAAGTTTTACTGCCTGTCTCTTCAAGACCGCAGAAGGTTGGCGTGTTTTTAGATTATGACAGAGGAGAGCTTTCCTTTTATAATGTGGAACAGGAGAGGCTCATTGGATCTTTAACAGCTCAGTTCACAGGTGAAGTTTTCCCACTTTTCAATCCTGGTAAAAATGACAAAGCACCTATGGAGATATTACACAAGCCAGAACAGGGTCCGTCTACTGACATGGGGAACTCTGCAGAATCAGCTGCACCATAGACTGAATCTGAACAGAATCAGTAAAAAGTGCTAGTTTTAACACTACTTCTACTTTGTTGAAAGGGAAAAGGAGGAGAATACAAAAACCTAATTGAACCTTTATCGTCTTTACAATTGAGACTAAACCTAAAATACTATTTTACTCGAACCAATTAGTTGTAAAAATGGAGGTGATTGCATTGTCAGATTGAAGATGATGTCAGGCGGTTACACGTGGCGCTGTCTGCCTACATTGACAACACACACTACAATACATCATCATCTCCATAGTTTAATAGAAAGGCCAGTGTATGTATTCGGTACCGCCCAACATTTGTGAATAAATTAGTTGAAGCTAAAATGCTCAAACTCTGACACAATTTGACACAGTACAGACAAAATAACAGAAAGATGTCACTGTAATAAGCATGGGGGGAATTGGATTTTATATAGCCCTATGCTTGCAAGTGAATAACAATTTGTTGTGCTTTTCCCACAAATTTCCCACATTAACTTCTCTAGGCTCAAATATGATAAATAATAATAAAAAAAAGAGCAGTTGAATTCAGCAGTGACCTAAAAACCCAATAGCTAAAGATGAGTGAGTCTAAAATGAGGGCTAAAACAGAACTTAAAACAATGTTTTTTCACCAAGAGGGGTTCAGACAGAGGGATTCTTCCGCTGTTCTCCGCTGTCTGCCTGGTGCAGTCGTCTGCTTCCTTACCTGCTGTTGTTCCTGCTGCTTCTCCTCTGCGTCGTCTCCCTCTTGTTGTGTCTGCTCTTTTCTGTGTTTTTACCTGCTTCGTCCCGCCCCTTAGCTGCCTGTTGGTTCATTACGGGTCAGCGCTCCTGTCTGATTGGTTGGTTTCATTGTGTATTAAAATTCACAGCTGAGGCGCATCCTGTCTCTCTCTCTCTCTCTCTCTCTCTCCCTCTCTCTCTCTCTCCCCCCTCTTCCCTGTCTGGTATAAAAAGCCCTAAAATAATAAAAATCATGTCTGACCAGATGCAAGTTAATAATGATAATCAGTCCAGCAAATTTCAGGCAGGAAGTCGAACCAAAAACATAAAAACTCAACCGTTTTCAACTTAAAAGCAGGTATTAAAATGATTATTTCAATGATAAAGCTAACATAAAAACCAACACACTATATAAACATACAATACATATATACAGTATGTAATACAAATACATATAAAACATGAACTAAATGAGTAAAAATGTTTTAAACATCAAAAGTTACCAACACTACTTCTGCCCTGTGACGGTAAATCTTAAATATGACTTTTGTAACGATCATAATGATGTTTTTTGTTGAAGCTGTAAGATGTGACAGTTTAAATGGATTGACATTTTGTAGTTTGTAGTTTGTAGTTTATGGTATTGTTAAGTATATAGTTTGACCAAGGGCCACTGCTAGATATTTTGGTGCCCTAAGCATAATTGCTTATATATATAATTACATACATGCTTTTGTATATACACTGTAAATATGCATTGACATGTACATTTATTTCATTCATTCACTAATTAGAATGTTGTATATCCTATGTGCAGTGTGTTATTACTCTTTTCAAAAGTAATATTACGGTACATATTAATCCCTGACAAAAGTAAGTAGTTACATTACTAGTTATATTACTTTTCCCACAAAATTGATAATTGGGTGCTAACAAAATGAATATTGTAAGAATTTTTTTTGGGTGGTAACTGTAATATTATTACTGAAATTGAAAAAGTAATTAGTTACACTAATAGATGCTGGGGATAGTCATATTATTACTGTAATATTATTACTAGTAATGGGTTACTGCCCAACATTCTAATTTATTGTTCTCAAATATTGCCTTTGAAATGTTTTAATTTATATTGCTCATCATGTGTGGTTATTTTGGTGATTCATAGCTAGTCTCATGCCTTTTGGTCCTATAACTTTTAAATATCACAGAGGTACTCATTTAGATTCCAAAGGGTTTAAGAGTAAAAGATTTTGTGCATTTTTTTAATCATTTATAAGGGAACACCCTCTTTTCTTAACTGGCTTTGTAGGCTCTATTGTGTGAAATGTAGAATTGATTCTCCTGTGTTTTGAGCCTATTATAATTATCTGAAGTATGTTCCTTAATTTTTATTTTTTTGAAAAAACAGACTTTGTGCTATTACATATTTCCAGCTGCCATGGTAACTATAGTCACTAAGTTCCCTAGTCATAGGTTTTATTGTCTTCTCTCCACTTTCTCCATATAGCTAAGAGGTTTTCAAAATGGGAGGCGGATCCTCCCCAGAGGGTCTCCCAACAGTTTCAGTGGAGGGTCAGTGTAGTGAAGACACTGGGATGTTACTGTATATGGCGTTAGTTCAGGGGCTATCACTGAGTTCACACCGGGGTGCCGGCCAGAACACCAACTTAAGGCTAAGTAATGCTCAGAGGTCCACAATGAAGAAGCAGGTGACGGATAGTGCAGGTGGTTTAATATCCTCTTGCTGGCAATGAGGTCATGTGGTTTTTCTATAGCAAAGGAACAATAACAAATATACACAAATGAATAAGAATAAAGCTCTTAATCACTAATAAACATACTAAAGGAGTACTGAAATTACTACATCCCCAAAATAACAGTCCTGAAACACTCTTCACCTAACTTACTAGCATATTAACACACATATAAACAACATCACATGGTAATATTTAAGTAACACTCACTGTAAGCATTACACTAGCGAGTCGGAGCGATAACAATAACGTAACATGTGACGTGACGTACACTTGATCAGAGGCAGGTGAGCTAAATGCTACAACTAGCTTAAACAGTGACCACATGGCAAGTCTGACAGCTACACATCAGAACAACAAATAAACTATAGCTGCAGCAACGTAAACACAGTACATCAACAATATATCCGGACATACTCACTTTCCATCCACGCGCAGACCACTTGCCGTGGCGTTAATTGTTAATTGAACCGTGAATCCCTCACTCTGCCGTCTCACCGGAGCACACACCTCTCTGACCAAGTACCGTCAGTTACGCTATATAACCAGCAGGGGGAGGGGGGGGGCGCTCTTATATGAGCTGACCAACACTACATCTATGAAATCACACACTAAACATAATATGTCCCAACTTTGGGGCCTTTTCTACAGTCAGTGAAGGGAAGTGAAACAATCTAAATTATGTAGGAAATCACATATCCTATACTTATGTTAATTGGTTAAAGAGATAGTTCAGAGATACAGTAATATTGAGGAATTTTACAGTTTTCCCTACTTTCCAAGAGACAGAACCTAATAAATTCCTTAAGTTAGACCTTTTGTTATTTTTAAAAAATATATTTGGGGTAGTCTGAAGTTATGTCAAACAACAATAATATAATAATATAATATACGTACCTCCTATATATATATATATATATATTTAACTAGAGGCTATCTAGGCTCAATTATTGAGTGTCTATGGGATCAAATAACATAATCATGATCCCATAGGCATGCAGGAATTACTAGTAATAGGTAAGTTAGTAAACTAACTTTACAAGCGTTGTCTGAGCGGAGGCCCACAGTCTCAGACTTTGAACTCCAGGTATGTCTCACTGAATTGCCTAGGTGTGAAATAACTGACAACTACTGCAGCAAACTATTTAGAAACTGACTTACAAAAGGGATTATTATGACTTACAAATTACTACCACTAATACACTTGTGCATGTGTTTTGTGTGCAAATGCATATATATTCAATATACCTAACATGGACTAAGGCAGCTAAACTTTGAAGCTGAGTTTATGGCCAGTATTCAAATTACAGTTCACCTTCGGTGTTGTTTTACATAATGTCATTTGTATTTTTTCTTCCTTTTATAATCTTGTTTCCAGTGAGCTCGATGTTTGAATGTATGATTCTTAAAATAAGATATTTGAATAAACTCAATATGGGATCCTGTATTTATTTGTTATTTCTATTTTGTTCGTGTCACTCTGCATCCACAATGTAAAACTCACTATACAACCCAGTTTAAGAAAACACAGCAAAATGTCATACACTTTAATAAGTACAGGTAGTATTTACAGTATATACACCATAACACAATACTAACTTTGTAATCACTACTGTATACTTTTCATAGATTAGGAAGTATTTACATTGTGAATAAGACCATAGGTAATTTTTTTTGTAATTCTGATACGCAATAAATTCAAGTAGGCGTGCCTTGATACATACTACTCTGACTATGATCATGGTATAAGGGATATGCAAGAACCACTTCACATTGACTGCATCATGGTCCAACACTTTGAAGAATACTCTTTAATACACTCATCAGTTGGGGGCCACGGGTTGGGGGTACAATGCCAGTCAATATCAAACACAAACTATACAAGTTCATACACGTCTCAGTCCTGAAGACATGCAGTCTATCTGTGGGGATTTTAAAGATTAGAACCATTGGTTTCTGCTCCCAAAGCTTTACACATTCATGTTTGGTCATCAGCCTTCAGTGGAAGCAAACACTAGACCAAGGATCATTTGCTGTAGCGTGTCCTGGTGGTCTAAAGTGCATACTGCAACCTCCTGGGTTGGTATCGCTTCAGGAACTTCACCTTCTCTCTCCTGTATCTCCTACCGCTCTCCACTGCCAACTATCTAATAAAGTAAAGATGATATGAAAGATAATCTCAAAGGAAAAAAAAGCATTCACTGTGTCTGAACCTTCACATTTTTCAGAAAGAGTACATCTTGTCCAACCGCTTAAAAATACATCTCATAACAGACACTGGGCATCCCGAACACTGAGCACGAATGATCCTTAAGTGGAGCATCTGTTTTCTTAGCTTAAGTCAGTTTTATTACACTACTCGCTTATGACCCGGGTGATGACACGGGGCTTGCACCTAACTTTCAGGTGCCGCAGCCATAAAAGGATAGAAAAAGGAGAAGCTGCACTCCACCATGACCCAGGCCTTTTTTCCCTCTTCATTATGATTGCTGGTGGTTTATACATTATGGTGTCTGTCCTCTGCCATGTCTGTGTTTTCCCCTAGCAGACCGAGGCAGCGCTTTCCCTCCTCCCCTGCTTCTTCAGCAGCTGGATGCGGTTGTGGACGTAAAACTTGATGGCCCTCCAGTCTCGCTGGTTGCTCACCAGCAGAGGGCAGAGTTCGAGGCAGCGTTCACAGTCCGCCTTTGCAGGGACACGCAGCTCCATGAGGTTTCTCTTTAGGTGAGTCTCCACTGCTACACGCTCTGCCTCTGACCAGGGACGCTTCAGCACACCGCGCTTCCCTGTGAGAACGAGGGTGAGGTGTAACGAAGTGTAAATGAACGGAAATAGAATGCATAAGATCTAATTTATATGGATGTGACTGAGGCTTGACTGGCAGATGGTTACCTGATTTGGGCGGAATACATCTCCTCTTATGAACATTGGCTATTGATGGGCTGACTGGAGAGGGAATGGGTGCTCTCCTCTTCCGTGGCGGTCGCCCTGGTCCTTTCTTCTTCACCATCACCTCAGCTTTAACTTCCTCCTTTTCTTCCTCTGGTTCTGAATCTTCTGAAAAGGAGTCAGCTGAGTTGCCAGACATTACTGTAGGACACATATAAAACTGAGGGTAGTCAACCCAAATCAAATGAGTAACATACAGCATAACATTTGACATGTAACAACAATAACAAGAAAACGTAAATACTGTTGCTTATTAAACATGTTGCTGACTAAATTGGTGCATACAAGCACAATGTGGATGTAAAAGGTTGCTATTTAACCTACAAAACCAACTCTGACACATTCATTATAACAAACTTGTGGAAAATTATCTAGAATTTTTCCTTAACATTAATCATTAAAGGGTGTCTTAGATTTGTAATAATCCAGCCATAAGTGTAAGGTATCATAAAGGAAGTGCAGGATACAAAATATACGTTATCCTGTCCTACAGTCACACACAAAAATGATGTGTGATATGAAGCTACAGCAAACACCTGGTTAGTTTAGCTTAGCGTAAAAACTGAAAACAGATTGCATGGCTCCACTTACCAGAACCTCTAAAACTCATTAATTAACACAGCATATCTTGTTTATTTAATCAGTACAAAACCCAAAGAGTAAAAAGGACACATTGTGGTTTTATGGTGGGTTATGTGCCAGACTATTTCGAAGCCTGGCACAGTGACTTCCTGCAGTCTTTTGTGGTTACCTGGCAACCTCATGATGACAACCAGACTCTAGGAAACCCCTGCAGAAATGTTCTGGCACTGAACCCCACATAAAGCATTTAAGGATCAGTTCTCCAAAATCAAACCAAAAATTCCAAAAAAACATTTTCACATACACAAGAAAGTCCTGTTTCTACATACCCCTGGAGTCCAGCAATGCAGATAATTCTGGATTATTTTTAACAAGTTTGCAGAAACAATCGATAACAATGTCTCTTTAAAGAAAAAAAAAATCCCTGGTAAATGGGCATAATCCACACACATTGCTGCGAACATTTTACTATTTCCTACCTTAAATAAAGCTGTTTTCAATTAGACTTGTACATTATTGAATCAAATTCTATTTGACATTTTGTTGGCTTTTTGTATTTTCCCCCTTTAAAGTAATTTTAAAGGCTGACATTCCTCCTACAGTCCAATACATACTAATAGTTACACCTTTAAAATAATGTTTTCTTTCCCCATTAAAATGAAAACAATAGAGTATGTTGGTGTTTTGCATTATTCAAAACAGATGCTGGGAGTTGAACCTTGAAAAGGTTCTTTGAACCAGAACCTGCACTGGGTTGAACAATGCATGCATGAAATACCTGCTGATAGGCCCAAATGGCTTCCTCCTTTTCTCCTGAAAAAAAAAATGCATGATGTAACTTCTTACCATCCAACTCGAGGCAGATGTGCTGCAAGCTCATCCCTCGGAAAAGCACGCCCTCTTTCTCTCCATAAAGAACAACACGACCCACACGACCCATCAGTGCTGGATCCCGTAGGATTGCGGAACAGTTTTGGGTCACATGGTACTCTCGTTCCAGGAAGTCCTCCAGCCGTTTGGTAGCACTACCCTGGCCCTCACCCTCCTCTAATAGTAGCAGTTGAGTGAGTATTGCTACCTGCCGCCGCACACGTGTCGCTGTCAGTGCTCCGGGGTTCTTGGCCCCACTGGCTCGTGCCAGATTTCTCAGAAGGTCCGTGCCGCGCAGCGGGGTAGCAGGAGAGTGGTAGGGCCGGGAGAAGACATAGGGACTCTCTGGGTCTACACCCACATTGGGGCTGGTTTGAAGGAGTAGGTCCAGGCAGGACTCACAGTGTGGCGGAAAAATAAGCGGCTGGATGCGACCACGCTTGCCCAAAACACCAGCCCGCGGGAGGTGAGAGAGGACCTGGCGCTCAAAGGGTGACAGGAGGGCTTCCATGCCGGAGGGGGGGCTGCTGCTAGAGCTGGCCTGGGGAGTGATACGGTTGCGGTAGTCCTGGAGAGTGAGCTTGGCCACCTCACATTCCCGGTGGCGGTTGTAGAGGATAAGCAGGGAGAGGCTGGAATGGCAGAGCAGGCGCCAGGCCTCGGCAGAGTGAGGAGAACGGGTTAAAGCAAGGAAAGAGGAGTGCTGCTGACAGCGGAGGTAGACGACCAAACAGGAAAGGGACGAGAGCAGTGGAGACATGTGATGTCTGTGTGTGTTGGAAACATAAGAGAGAGAGGAAAATATGCTTTTAAAGTAGCAGTTTAAATCACAAAGCACCAACAAAAACTCAAAACATCAAAAATAAATGTTTAATTGGTTTCAGAGACAATGGTAAAAAAAGAAATAATCCAACCATACCTTACAATCTCTCCATTCTTTTCCTCTGGTGCATCATCTTCTCCTTCTGCACTTAGCTCCAGATCTTCGTCTGGATCAACGTCTGGCTCTGGAGTAGGAGGTGGAACCAGCTCTTCTTGACTTCTCGAGCTCTCCACCTCCACTTTTTGCTGCTCTTCATGCTTTTCTTTCTTCATCCTCCGACCCCTTCTGGGTGTAGACGGGGGAGGCGGTGACGGACTCTTTACCCGTGACACCATTGGGGGTGCAGGGCGTTTTGTGGTGGGCAGCGGTAAGCTGGGACCTTTCTTGGTGGCCGCGGGCTGAGCTGAAGAAGGCGGCGAAAGCGAGAGGGAGAACGATACGCCGCCTGTGCTCGAGCGTGTAGCCGGTGATTCCTTTTCCCTAGAGAAGAGAGACGGTGGAGCAGGGTTGGAGGCCGAGGACTGAGGGACAGCAAAGGAATGAGTTGTTGCGGAGGTGGAGGACGATGAGGGGTTAGGGTGTGCGGCGCTGCCATTTGAAGAGCTGTGCATGTGTGCCAGCTCCATGGCTGTTCTGACCTCTGGCTGGTTGGCGTGGTGCTTTTCCAGGTGGCGTGCCAGAGAGCGATAGTGGCGTCCGCAGTACGGGCAGTGCTGCCGCCGGCTCACTGTGGCACTGCTGGAGCTGGCAATGTTTATATTAATGTTGTTGTTGATGTTGGTGGTCGGGGGTGCCAGGGTGCCAACCGGGGTCTGGGACTGGGATCTGGCTGGGGGTGTGACAGGTGCTGGGCGGGAAAAGGATGAGCAGGGGCGCCCGGGTCCTCTGGAGGATGGGGGCGTGGTTTTCTTCTTTGAATTAACCACCGCGGGCAGCTTGCGCTTCTTGCGGCGGCGGAGCATTCGTCCCCTTATCTCCTCCATTTCCTCTTCTTCATCGTCGTCGTCATCGTCATCGTCTTCCTCCTCTTCGTCCTCCTCACGGTCTGAGTCACTGGGCTCAGAGTGGGTGAGAGGGGAAGATGAGGGTGATAATGACCAGGAGGGGGTAAGGTAATCAGAAACAGAGAGGGACAGTGGGTGGGGGCCGGCCTCTTCTTCCTGGTTAGACAGATTTCAAATTAAAACAAACCGTGTTAGCTCAACTTGTAGCTATATTAACAG